GAATTGTATGGGGACTATAACCAAGATGAAAATGCATACATTGTGCAAAAATGAAAAATGATGTAAAAAATATATGAAATAAATATATTTTTTAAAAAAGAATGACTGACCAAGACAGAGTGTTAAATATTAAAATGTGAAAGAGATTGTGACAGAGAAATAAGAGATAATAAGTGATGGAGTGAGATTGAGAGATTAAGAATGATTGACAGAGACAGGTTGAGAGAGACAGAGTGAAGAGATTAGAGATATATGTAGAGATGAGAGGAGTGAAAGATTGAGAGAGAAGAAGAGAAAACGATTGAGAGAACTGTGGGAGACTGACAGGTACGGAGAGCAAGATATTGACACAGAGTTTGAGAATGTGTGAGAGAATAAGAGAATGTGATGGAGAGAGACTGGTGGTGAGGGAGAAATTGAGGAGAATGATAGACTGAGACAGTGAGAGAGAGATAGAGATATGGGAGTGAGTGGGAATGAAAGAGAATTAGAAATGCTGTGACAGCTTGAGAGAGAGTAGGGAGAGGGAGTTAGAAAGTAAAGGGAGGGCCTCCCCGGTGGCGCAGCTGTTGAGAGCTGGGTTGCGAAGCTGCCCGCAGCCTCCGCAGCGCCGGTTCGATCCCCAGCTGCTCCCCGGCCACTGGAGGAGGGTCCCGATTGGCGCGCAGACCTCTCCTGCCGCCCGCTGCTCCCCTCAGCAGTGTACTTCGGTCCTTCTGCCTGCTCTGCTCCCCACTCTGGTGAATTCTGTCACCCTCCTGCACTTCTGACTGTACCCAGTGCTTGTATAAATAAATAAATAAATCTTTAAAAAAAAAAAAAAAAGAAAGGGAAATTGAGAAAGAGTAATTGAGTAAGACTAAGTGTTGTTGAGAGAATGAGAGATCTAGATTGGAAGAGATGAGAGCCAGAGAGATTTAGAGATAAATTGAGTGTATTGACATTAAAAGCAAGAAAGTGGTTGAAAAAGAATCGAGAGAGGGAAGAGATTTGAGAGTTTAGATAGATGAGAGATAAACAGTGAGTGAAGGAGAGAAATGGAGATTGAGAGATGATATTGAGAAAGCGTGAGAGACTAAGAGTTATTTAGAGATTGATTGAGAGACGAGAGGAGAGTAATGATAGAGACAGAAATTAAGAGACAGAGTAGGGAGAGATTGAGGGAGGCTAGAGTGAGACAGTGAGATAACCGTTGAGAGAACTGAGAATTAGAAAGACTGAATGATACTGACAATGATTGTCTCCCTCAAACTCTGGTGCTGTATCAGAGTGATTGAGAGAGACAGAGTGAGAGAATGAGATCGTGAGAGAGACGATCGTGAGCGGGAGAGGCGAGCTGAATGAGTGGAGAGTGAGGATGAGATTGAGAAAGTAATGCAAGTGAGAGATAATGTGTGATGTATAAAGAAACTGAGTGACAGTGAGATGCGGATATTGAAAATAAGAGTGATTTTTAGAGATGGGAGTGAGTAAAGGAGTGAGTGTGAGATTTGAGTGTGTGAGATATTGAGAAAGAGAATAAAGTGAGAATGTGGTTGAGAGAACAGAATGAGAGAATAAAAAGGTGAGATTGAGAGTCAGATATTTAGACACTGAGTATGATGAGATTGAAAGATTAGGAGAGACAAATTGAGAGAGATTTGAGAGAGGAGAGATACACAAGTGAGGGAGAATTTGAATATTGTGATTGTGAAAGTGACTGATAGTTTGAGAGAGGAATTCAGAGAGTAAGATTAAGCAAAAGAACAATTGAGCACCATTAAGAGATTGAATGACTTTGAGAGAATAAGTGAGTGTGTGCAATTGTGAGAGATTGAGAGATCGAGGGAGATTAGTGAGAGACTGATAGAATCGACAGTGATTGAGGAGAGCAATGAGTGTTTGTGAGAGTGAGAACAATTGAGAGGTCAAAAGATTGCTTGAATGAGATTGAGAGTGGTTGAGATTGAAAGAATGTGAGAGAGATGAGCATGAGGATGAATAGTGATGAGTGAGGGCGAGATTGAGAAGAGAGGAATGAGTGTGAGAGATGAGTGGTTAAGAAGTGAGAATGTTAGAGATATTGAGAGAGGGAGTTAAGAGGGTGTGAGAGGGTGTGAGTGAGAGTAAAGTGAGAGACAGAGATTGAGAATGATTGGCACAGAGTATGAGAGAAAAGTTTTTGAGAGGCAGATTGTAGTGGGACTTTAAGAGAGACTGAGAGGAGTGGGAGAGATTTGAGAGGGGTGTTTAGAATGATGAGAAACAGAATGAGAATGTGATTGAGAGTGAGAATTGAGTCAGTGGAAAGTGATGGAGAGATTGGGGGTGGGGGAGACTGATATGCAGAGAGCTATTGAAAGATTGATAGAGAATGAGAGAGTAATACTGAGAGAATTAGAATGATTGCCAGAGGGAGATTGAGGGTTGAGAACAAGTGTGATTGTGAGAATAAAAGATTGATAGATTGAGAATAGGAATGAGAGATGAGAGAGTCAGATTTATGCTAGATTAAGTGTAGTGACATTGAAAGAGATTGAGGGCCTCCCCTGGTGGCGCAGCGGTTGAGCGCTGGGCTGTGAAGCTGCCCGCAGCCTCTGCAGCGCCGGTTCGATCCCCGGCTGCTCCCCGGCCACCGGAGGAGGGTCCCACATGGCGCGCAGACCTCTCCTGCCGCCCGCTGCTCCCCTCAGCAGTGTACTTCGGTCCTTCTGCCTGCTCTGCTCCCCGCTCTGGCTCTGGTGAATTCTCTCACCCTCCCGCGCTTCTGACTATACCCAGTACTTGTATAAATAAATAAAATAAAATAAAATAGAAAGAAAGAGACTGAGAAAAAAAGATTGAGACAGAAGGAGAGTGAGCTCTGGAGATGTCGTTAGAGATGTAATAAACAGAAGAGTAAAGAATGGGAGAAAGGAGTGAGAGATTTAGAGAGAGAGATCTAGAGAGAATGAGGGGAATTGTTGAGGAGAGTAATGACAGAGGCTAGAGTGAGCAATTGAGAGAGAGCAATTGAGAACCATTGAGACATTGTGAGCATGTGCGATTGTGAGAGTAAGAGACTGAGTAGGGAGAGATTGGGAGCTGAGACAATGAGACAACGACTGAGAGATCAAGATTGCTTGAGAGACTGGGAACTGACAGAGTGAGACGAATGAGGGGATTGTGGAGAGGGAGCTGAATAGGAGTGAGAAATAATGAGTGATCTATAAAGAAACAGTGAGAGACAGATGTTGAGAGAGAGAGAGAAAGATAGGAGGGAAGAAGAAATTGTGAGGGTGAGAGTCTGAAAAATATTGAGCTATATTGAGATTGACGGAAACGGAGATTGAGAGACAGTGAGTGAAATGTAGTGAGGATTTGAGAGATTTGTAGAGATGAGAGATAAACAGAATGAGTGAGAGATTGAGAGAGGGGAGTGATACTGAGACAGAGATGATGTTGAGAGAAATTGAGGGGAGGGGTCTGAGAGATCGATACAGAGAGAGGGAGAGGGATAGTGAGGGAACATGAGCGAGTCACATCAGACTAATTGTTAAAGTCTTTGTTTTGTTTTGTTTTGTTTTTAATTTATTGCTTACCTCTTACATATGGACAGGCTGGAAAGTGGTGGCTTGTTTGGGGAAAAGTATTTTAAGTGCTTATTATTTCTCTACATGATGCTGACTATTCTGCATAGTATGACTTTACAAAGGAGAAAAAAAAATTTTTTCATCCATTTTTAGAGCACAATATTAAGTATGGAATTCAGATCAGTCATCATATCTCAGTGTTCAACATTAGCATGTTTTGAGAAAGTTATTGCAAAAACTGTCAATGCTGCCAAAACTATTGGCAGAAAGGTCAGTTAATTAAAATCTCTTTACAATGTCATAAATTTAAAATGAACTCATCTGGATATTAGACAGTACAAGTTATATTAAATTCATTCTTAATAGCCATTTTTTTTATTTGCAAGGACCTTGAATTACATACCTACCTTCAGTAAGCCTAATATCCATCATGTAAAGCCCGTGAACTAACCAGAATGGGTGAGCTCGGAAGCTCATCTGGCATCGTGCTGCCTCAGGCGCATCTGCAAGCGCCCCCACCCCACTGCAAGCAGGGACTAAAGAGTCGCCAGTCCTTGTGGCTTTTGTAGACCCGGTGGTACTTTGTGTGATGTCCTGCCAGCACGCTTTCTGTAAATCTTAATTGAGTATTTGACCTGCTCTACCTTGAAAATCAGTGTATTTGAAAGCAGGCTCATAGCATACCTGAAATGTGACTACTTTGAGTTCTTTTTATTGTGGGGTAATTTCTACTGAACAGAGTATTAGAATTAGAATTCCTGTGTGCTTATCAATCCTTTGTGAATCTGTGCTGGATAAAATTAAGAACTTATACAGCTACCAGCTATCATAGAGGTTTAATGCACACTAGCTGTTTGAAGGAATTACTGAATCCAGTTTTAAAATAAAGGTAAATTCTTAGAAAAGTTAAAAAATACCATAACAACTAGAATGAATCCAGAAAATAAGCAATTTTTTAGTATCTGCATGTACAACATACATTACTAAAGCACAAGATACATTTTCTGTTTTTCCTATTCCCGTATTTTATATCAAATGACATTTCTCAGAGGAATGAGGTTTCCCTGAAAGTTTAATGTGTAATAAATATCTGCTGTGACTCAGCTGGACAGCGATCCCTTTAAACCATTGGGAAAGCGTCAAACTCTGTGAGATCCATTTTCCCTGCTTCTGGTAGGTCCAGTTCCTTGTATAAATGCTCCTTGGCACCAAGAGAATGCTGAAGCTGTAACCCAATCCACCTTTTTTTTTTTTTAAACAATTTTGTTAATTCAATTTGTCTCCTTCCCCACTAAATGAATGCTAAATCTGTTGAAATTCTTGCCAGACACTAACACAATAGTGACCTGGGGCTAGGAGATGCCTTAAGAACCTAGGAGCAGAGAATTCTGTCATGTACTTCCTGGCATTGGTCAGGGGATAGTAATCGTGTCTATTCTTCATTTTTAGATAACAATCGATAGAGAGAGCGGTGAAGACGTGAGCTCCCCCAAACATGGGAAGGAAGACCCAGACAACATGCCACACGTGGGCGGCAACACTTGGGCTGGTGGAACAGGTGGGTAGTGCCGACTTCTCCGGGGGTGGCCTTCCCGAGACTTCATAAGCCCACACAGACAACACTGCCCCTGGGAAGGATCAGGGACCAGCTTTCAGCCTTCCCTGTTCCTTGGCTTGTGCTCCTGCCCTTCCTCTCAGCAAGACTTCAAGACATGCCAAAACCCTGCCCTTTCAAGTCCGCGGAGCCTGCTACCCTCAAACCTCAGACCATTCTAACCCTCACAGAGTTGCTTCATCGTTAAAAAGGGAATAACATTAACTGCCTTGTAAGGTTGTGGTAAGGATTAAGTGAGATTAAGTTTATAAAGCTCTGAGAACAAGTCCTGGCATGAGGAATGCATTCAAAGTGTTAATCCCTTCTTGGGATCATGCCAGGCATCTCTAGTAAATTTTCTTGACCAACTGACTTTGAAAAGAAATGGCCCTCGTCTTCCACATGTGTATGTTGAGGATGCAGGGTTTGGAGATAAGAGACTTGCTTGTGGTTTGAGCCAATGGCTGTGGCCCATTCCTTCCTCTTGGCTGCCTGAGCAGAGCATTGTTCCTGTGCTCTCTTCCTCTTTCCTCCCAGGCAGCTGGAGCAGACACATCTGCTGGGCCACAGGAATAGGACCAGACTGTGTGCGCACTGTCTGATCTTATCTTGGCCAAGGGGAGTGCTGGCACAAGCTCATGCTTTACCTTCCCTTAGGATCGTCTGTGCCTCTTGGCCTTGACTGCCTTGGGAGGAAATGGGTTTCTGTGCTGGGACAATGTGCTATCAAATAGGCCTGTGGACTTCTTGCCTACTCTGTTTATTCCTCACGCTTTTAGCTTTAAAGAAAGGGTATTTTTAGACATAGCCTTTGATCTGGAAATTAGCGACAAGCCAGCAAGACTTAATCCATATGGAATGCATTGTGGAAAGAGCTGGTCAGATGTAGATTTCCCAGCAGTGGACTACTTGAGAGTGGAAGTTCTCACTTGTTATTCTACTTGACTCTACTAACCCATCTATCTGTCCATTTTGAAGACCTTGCCTTTGCTTCCTTTTTCAATTTGTAAAAGCTCTTTTACTTCAAATCCTTTTTCTATCTGTTGCTTTTCCCTCAGAATTCTCTATAGTGAACATAGCCCTGAACCATTAAGTCATTTGATTCCTTTTTCATCCATAATACCTATTCTTGCCTTCATCTTACAAGTTTACTTTAGGATGTTCAAGTTCAGCTTCAAGATTATGCCTTGAAGTTTTAAAAGAAAATGCTTGCTGGAGGTTTGTAAGTAAGTAGTACAGATTAAGGCTCCCAGAAGTAGAGACCACGCAGATCTCTCCCCCCAATGCCTTCTCCACCCCAGTGTGGCTTCCCCAGCATCCATGTGAGTCTTGCTGACCATCACTCACACCAGCCTCTATCAACAGTTGTGGGTCCTTTTCCTCCTTTCACCAAAATGACGTCCTCACAACACCTAGGAAGCTTTAAAATCAAATTCATGATCCACCCACACCAATGGACAACCTCCTGTAGAAAGGGAGTTAAGATCACAGAAACAACTCTAATTCTTCGCTCAGATATTAGCTCGTCTGCCTATAGGATGCCCACAAGTGAGAGCCAAGAATCACATTTGAGAAGGAATTTTCCACCACTGATTTCTAAATCAACGTGTAATACGATGTGCTCAAGTCAAAGCACAGTAAATTACAGTAAAAATTATGGTAAAAATACTGTAATTAATAGACTGCTTTCATGGTATTTACCAAAAGGAAATGACCTGCGCAGACTTCTCGATTTTAGCTTATTACAGCAATTAAGACTCTAATAAAGAAAAATATGACATGATTTAACCATCATCTACAAACTTTGAAAGTTTCCACTATATGAAACTTAGAAATGAACTCATTCTGTGTGACTGGAAGTTACCTCAATAATAACAGTAAGAATAACCTTTTACACAGCTCTTATTTTGTACCAGAAACCGTTCTAAGTATTTCAGCCTCATGAAAATCTCATGAAGTAAATAATATTAGCACCCTCATTTTACAGATGAGAAGGTTGAAGTTCCTTAAGGAACTTTCCTCGAGGATATACTACTGGAGCACTACAGCTAGGGCTCTAACTCAGGCAACCTGGCTTCATTATATAATACCAGCGTGCTGTGCTATACCTTATGCTGCCCCTCCAATACTGGATTCTCTTCCAAGTGCCCAAGTTGTGTGTTAATAAACAAAATAAGTTGATTAGTAGTATTTTAAATATTACAAAGCAGGGATAATAAACTGGTAGTCCAGAGGCCAAATCTGGCAAATATATTCATTTTGGTAGTCAGCTTAGTGTTTTCAAATAATTTGAATGTATTTATGCAAGGCAAGTCCTCACTCCTTAAAATATTACCTGGTTTTCTAAACATTTATGTTTACTACCTAAGTTTATACACTCTTACATAAGGTACACTTACAAGCATGTAAACGTGGGCATATATTGGAAAACCATTCTGAAGCTGGAAGTATTATCTGTTGTATATTATTCTAGCCTAAAAGTCAAAGTGTAATATTTGGCTTCTAATCTTGGCTAAATTGCTGATATGAGGTCATAAGTAGGTTGCATAATCTCTCTGTGCATCATTTTTATCATTTGCAAAACAGCAGAAACAATATAGCTTAACTGCCTCTTATTTTAAGGAAAAATAAGGTTATATGAGAAGAATGATGTTCATTTAATTAACAAATGCATACTGAATAACTTTGATGTCCAAGCTACTCAAAGATGTGGAAGTAAAAAGATATATGAAAATTATCACATTTAATATTTGGTAAGAAAATATTAAGGAACAACTAGTGCCCAGGCACATTGATCCCTGGGAGGGAGAGTCCTCAGAAGAGCTATCATGGAATTTGGACCAAGCCTTGAAATGTTGGTAGACTTTGACTGGATGTGAAGAGGGAAGTACTCTGAATAAGGATACCTTTGTTTCCAGATTCTTGTTATTTAAATATTTACTGTCTGACTCTCTGTATAGTTCATAATATTCCCAGGCCAACTCTCCATTTGAAGAGACCTGTCCTGTGTGGCCTCCCGGATCTCTGTACGCCCCTGCTCCTCTGCCCTTTGGGCTGGGCTGCCACTCCACTGTAATCCTCTTTTCTCTGTGCTGTTGTAGATTCCTGTCCTCTGTCCTTCAGTCTTGTCAGGACACAAGAGTCCTGATCTTTCATGCTGCAAAAGATGAGCATGCCAGAAGGTTCTTCCCAGCAGAACATGTTCCCTCTAGTCTCCAGTTTCTGGAAAGGAATTTGGGGATCAAGAACTCAGCTTGTCCTGTCCCCAGGCTGAGTTCCCCAGATCTCTACCAAAGTAGACCAGTGAGAAAGTGCAGTCTCCAAAGGAACACAGGTGCTGAGTTGTCATAGTTTCCTACAACCTGGCAGAACCCCACTATGCCTTCCCACCAGCAGAATCACAAGAAGCAACACTGACTGAGTGTGCTGTAATCTGAGTGCATCCTAGCCTGGATGCAACTGCCAGTGAGACCCATCTCTGCTGCTAAGTGAAGTCAGATGGGTAATTTATCCTCGGGTTTCTGTCAGTTTGGTTTGCCTTACTCCTATGTGCATTAAGAATTGTCTCAAGGTTGTACTTATGACTTCCTGATGGATGCGTCCGTGAGGCAAGACTCAGACCCCTCAGCATGATCAGCTCCAACCTTCATTCCAGCCTCCTGGGACCCATTACACCTTCCTCAAATTTTAGCCTATTCACATGTGGGGTCTATAGGAATGAATTTAGGGCAATTCATTTATTTGCATCCCCATTACTGGTAGCATTTATTTGACTGGGAAAGTCAAAGAGACATTCTATCTAGAGAAAAAAAAGTAAATATTCTCCTACAAGCTCTGTATTTGCTATTGTATTTGTTGTTTTTAAAATAAATATTAGTTAAGGACAATTAATATGCTTCGTGGGACTACCTTAAAGATGTGGTCTGGAGAAGACTCACTACCTGGATTTTCCTGGTTTCCTCCAGGAGGAAGAGACACAGCAGGTCTGGGTGGCAAAGGAGGTCCCTACCGGCTGGATTTAGGCCACACTGTGTACCAGGTCACAGAGGTTGAGAAAGATGCTGTTCCTGAGGAGGTGAAGAAAGCTGCTAGAGAGATGGGCCAGAGAGCATTTCAACAGAGGTGAGTGGTCGCCATTGTATCAAGAGCAGCACCAGCACTGTGGTGACCTGTTGTACTGGACCCAGAGTAGAGCCAGCATTTTGAACCACAAACTGACCTCTCCCTGATGGCACAGTCAAGGAAACATGCAATCCCCATTCTTCCTACCCAGGCTCTTTTAAATGCATGGACTACACCTGAATGTAGAAAAAGAAATTAAAGACATTAGAAGGTGAAACCAAAGATTTTCCTAAGACAAATTGAAGCTCAGATCACTTCATCCAAACCTATTCATAGGCCATAAAAAGAATTCAGATAGGACCTCCCCAGTGGCGCAAGGGGTTAAGCACAGTACTGTCAAGCTATCCGCAGCCTCTGCGGCACAAGTTCGATCCCTGGCCGGCCAGGGAGCAACCCACATGATGCAGCAGACCTCTCCTGTCTCACCCGCTGCTCACCTCAGCAGTGTATTTTAGTAGATCTGCCTGTTCTGCTCCCCACTCTGTCTCTGGTGAATCCTCTCACCCCCTGTGCCTCTGGCCTATACCCCAATTCTTGTATGCATAAATAAATCTTTTAAAAAAGAGAGAATTCAGATAGCTCTATGTAATAGTCCCTTCCTGCCCTTGGGAAATTTGTAGATTTATGTGGAGACAAAACTAGTGTGCTCACTCTGTGTGTGTCTCTCTCTCTTTCGCTTTCTTCCTTCCCCTTCCCCCCATTAAGTGCTGAAGTCCCCTGGTATGAAGCTTGTGCCCTCTAGCAGTGTGGGGAAGGGCCCTGAGCTCAGCCAGAATTTGGACGTTCCAGGGAGGAAAATACTTGTGCAGAGCCACCAGAGCACAGTGTCTGTGGTGGAGAGAGGCAGTTTGTCCATCAGGGAAAAGGTACTGGCAGGGAATGAGATTAGATGAGGAAACCCTGTCCATAGGTGGAGGCCTTGAAATCCAGGCTGACGAGCCTGTGCTTTTCAGACAATCCAGAACCATTCTGCCCCATTTTGATGAGAACCATCTAAGAAATGAGAAGAATCTACATGATGCTTTCAGAAGACAACCACGTGTGTTAACGAAACATGAAAAATACCAAAGGACCAGCAATATGTCCTTCAGGATTGAGAGAATTGGTAGTGATTTGAGAAGCAGATTTGCATTTTTGTGCTCAATGAAAATAGCTGGGTGCAGTTAGAGAAATGACATGCGCAAGTGTATGAGAGTTATGAAATCCCTCCCACGTATAACATCTGGTATTACATGCTGTGCTGTACACATCCTGCAAGTAAACAGTGCAGAACAATGGGGACAAATATGCTGATCCCTCCTACCACGCCCTCAGGAAGGGCTGCCAGCCCTTAGACCCTCAAGTACTCAGCAGGTAAATAAGACAAGTGGTACTCTCAACCCTTCTGTTGGCTTCCCTGGAGACCTTGAACTATTTATATATCCTCACTGTGCCTGAATTTGTTCTGGAAATAGACGATTTCCCTCTCCTGCCCTCTCAGGTTATGAAGACAAATCACTTTGTCAAGACTGAAATCATTTTAACGTCTCAAAAAAGGTAGGAAGAATAATGAGAGGTCTTGTTGGAATTCAAATACTGCTCTACATTTCAAATAAACAAAGTATCCAGTTAGGAAAAGAACCAAACAATTAGCTATATCTCATTCTCCCTTCCCCAACTAATGAGCTTGTGTTGTCACCATGCTCAAAACCTCACAAATAAATGTCCAGTCTCAGTGTGTGCGCTGATGCCCAAGCCCTTCTTGGGGAGGCAGAAAGCCCTTCTAGTGGTGCTTGTACACCACTGTACAACCCCAGCTTCCATAATAGGATCTGGAACCTGCTTCTGGTAAGGACCGTGGTCCCAGGGAAGGAAGTCAAGGAGCATCTGTGATAATAAGGCAACTAAAGTTAGTGGATGTAGGGAGGAAAGTGTGGAAGTGAGGGAGTCATGAAAAGGCCATACTCCTTTACTAAATACTGCAGAGAAGAAACTAATTCCAAGCAAAAGAGAAGATCTTCTTGATTAAAAGACGGGGTAGGCAAGTGTTTGAAAGAGGAAAAATGACAGTCATGAGCAAAACGGACACAGCAAAACAGAGAAAAAATTCTGCTTTTTACTTTCATGTAGTAATACTCCCATTGGATAAGTATTCAACTGCTGAATATTTTCCTTTAGCCTTTTGTTATAGAACTTTTCAAACACAGATAAGAGAAAAATGTATATGAGTCCTATCAACTTGTCCCTGCAAGAGGAAAAATCTGACTGCACTCGCAGCATCTACTCATGGGTAGTTCTGAAACTAATCCAAGATGTCCTGTATTATTGTTATAAACATTTTAGCATATCTCTTAAAGATAAGGACTCTTTTTAAAAATAAAAACACAAGGCTATTAAGTCTTTCAAAAGTAATAATTTTTCACTATCACCAAATAGTTTTGAAGTTTTTTTGCAGCTCTAGGCATATGTTAAAAAGGTCAAATTTCCCTCCATTTATGTTTTTTAAACATCCTAACCTTTTTTCCTTAGTACTAATCATTTGTTCCCATTAAGCTATTAGTTGTAAGAATAGTTAGCTGTCTCTCCACTGACTCTCTGGAGAGTAGGGTGTTTTGTTTGCTCCAGAGTACATCCCCAGTACCTACACCCAGAACCTGGTGAGTAGCAAACACTCACACATATCTGTGGAATGAATAATCAGCTGTACATACAAATAGTGATATCTCCATTAATATTTAATTCAGACACCAGATAAAACCAGACCCACAGCCAGACCTATCCATCAGCCCAGAGATCTAGTGTATTGCCTTGAGTAGCCCAGTACATGATCAGTCCAACATCAGTCAGCCTTCAGTTGTATCTGCATTGCAGCTAAATACTGATTCCTACAGAGTAAGAATTGATAAACTCAGGAAGACTAACAAAAAGACAAGTACAAGACATGAATAAAGTGGAATAGAAATATTTCATCAACAAGATGTGAATGAAGTAGACCTCAGATACTTTTTGCACACTGAGCAGAGCCTTTGGCGGCAGGGGGCCAGGCACCCACTCTGGAAATTGTACCTACTACCATTTGCAAAACTAATCAGGCTTACACAGTGGATCTCAGCTTATGTTTATTTTCATAAGTGATCCAAAAATCATAGTATTTAAAGTCTGACCCATAAGAAAAAATAAAATGAAAACTAAAATTCCCAGACTCTTAGGTAACAATAAATATACCCTTTAAGAATATACTGTGCCAGCAAAGTGCAGTTATAGTCCACTTAGATTACTAGGATGTAAAGCAGCTGTGCCCTGCAGTTTTGATCAGAGGTAAAGCAGCAGAAAGACATTTTCAGCTAGCTTTGTGGGTTTGAGAGTATTAGCAATGGGAACTTGTCTGATCCAGAGGCTAAAATTTCCTATTTTCTTTCTCCATTCCCTGTTTCAGTCTCCATCATTCAGAATGTTATCAGCTTTGAACACCTTGTAGGTGACCTTTCCAAAAGCTGACAAAACCTGGAATATGATTTCCAGACTTCTTCATAATTAAAACAGCATGTGGTGTGTTTTTTGGGTGCAACATGATCTTGCCAGGGGCGGCCCTGTAACTCGAGCTAAGTCTGATCTCTACAAAGACAAGTCTGCTTGAGGTGACTTACCAACTGCTTGACTCCTCCCTTGATGTGATTGTATGTGTATGTTTTCCCCTCCTAAGGGTAAGCCATGTCCACATTTTTTTCTAATCTCTCCTCTTTCAAAAAATGCTAATCTCCCTTCTTTGGGAAAACGCATATTGGCTTCCTAGGTTTAAAGGGACGGAGGTAGCATATCGCACAGCATATTGTGCCCAGCTTCTGTCAGCCATGATCTCTGGATATAACTTAATCTAATGAAAACTTATAGAGACATTTCAGAGGTTGTCACAGCTAAACATAGGATATATTGTTAAGGGAGCATGTCCTTACATATATTCCTTTTTGCTCTTAGAACAGGGTTAATTAGATTTACAATAGAAGGACACCTTGGCATGTCACCTTGGGAAACAACTACTCAGATATTATACACCTTTCAGGGATTTACCTTTTGATAGTATATTTCCAAGTGCTATCCAAAGCATTTATTGAGCACTGCTGTGCAGCACGGATGCTGCTAGGTATTGGCAATGCAGAGAAAAAATAAGACATTTTCCTTCTCCCACAAGGATAGAAAGTATCATAGTGAATCAAATGTAATAAACAATAAATTTTGCTTTAGTTATAAAACACATTTCTATATTTATCTGTGTATACTCACTCTCAATGTAAAGTGTATCCTACTGTGGAAAATAAAGTTTGGCAAAAACAGTCAGAGAGAGACAAAGATATATCTATTAAAAGCAATAAAGGGTAAAGGTTTTGTGATAGCTGTCTATAGAAGCTACGTGAAAGGGATTGATCAGTTTTTTTAGGACAGATTAAGCAAGACTTCATAGGATGTGACCTTTAAGCTGTGTTTTGAAACCTGAGTTGGCATTAACTAGCCCTGGTGGTGGCAGGGCAGGAGTTGTAAGTCTGCGCCATGGTCATCTAGGCCTAACTTGATGTGATGCTAATAGGCCTCTCTCACTCTGCTCTGTGATGGGTTGATTCTTCCCAACACTTGGCCTGACAAGGAGTAATAGAGACAATTCATTCTCACTTAGCTTCTGGGGCTTCATTTCCAGTCTAAGGTATTAAAAATGTGCTTAAGATTTTCAGCTACACACCAACTTTGCTCTCATGCATATACAAACATACACAGTAGTTTAGAAGATCATGTTATAGGTAGGCTTTTGAGATATGCATTATATCTTGCCTTAGCACCCTTTATGTTTATAGAAATATCTAACAAATTAGTATCTTATAGATACAGTACTATAAAACCCAAGAGAAGTTTTGGGCTTCTGTCATGCTACTAAATTTTAAATAATCTGAGTCTTATATCAGTCAGTCACTGCAGTGTATTGTGAGCATCTCTTGATCTCCAGGCACCATGGTAGACACTGTACATAGGAAGATAAGTAACACTCAGTCCTTAATATAGCCTGGTTGGTGAGAGAGAAGGAAGACAAGTAGAGCATGGGTAGTACATGCTCTGATATAGAAAGTAAGCATGAAGTGCTGTGAGAGTACTGCAGCGAGACCTGGGGGTCAGAGCAGGCTTCCTGGAAGAGGTGGCCATTGATTTGAGTCTTCATGTGGGAGATAGTAGGCCAAGAGCAGAGAAAGAGCACTCCATGCAGGGGGTGCTCCAAAACACAGGCACACTGTGTTCAGGAAATCACAAGAACTCTTATGGGGGAAGAGGGGGCATGAAATAATGAAAAACAATAAAAAGGAGCACTGTCCTGGGAGGATAGACTTTCAAGGCCACAATACTGAAATGCAATTCTGTTTATTCTATTAAATGTATACCACCATTCAGAAAACATGTCTTTTACTTAGTGACACTAAGTTACAGTCTTTGGGATCAAACCGGTTCAGATATATATTCTTGGTCTTTCAAAGAAACCCATGAGAACTTTCAAGTACCTGCCACATGAACTGACCAGTGACCAACATGGTGACACCTCTGGGAACAAGCAACAGTGTGTTGTTGAGCTGGCGCTTACTGACTCAGGAGAGCCAACTATGCACATTTCACTGTGCCAATCACTTCACTGTTGGTAGCTTGAAATAAATCATGGTGGGAGTTTTTATACACAGCATATCATTAGGGTTTTCTTTTGTCCTAGAGGACCATTCATTAGCCATTTGCCTGCAGACCAGTGGATATTCTTCTCCTTTGAAACTCCAGCTAGAGACATCATTTCATCCCTTTTCTTCTCTAAGGCAACAGGAGTTACCAAGGAGTTTGCTATAGTTCTAGTAAAAAAAAAAAATAAAAAGATGAAGTAGAAGGCCCATGTGTGCATGATTTCAGCTGTTGCCTTTCTTGCCCTCTGATTTCAGGCTAAAAGAGATCCAAATGAGTGAATATGATGCCGCAAGCTATGAAAGGTTTTCGGGGGCTGTTCGGCGACAGGTGCACTCCCTTCGTATCATTCTGGATAACTTACAGGTAATCCTCCATTTATGGACTGAGAAAATTATCTAAGTCCAAAACTGGACCGATCCCAAAACTGAGGTAGGTTCACCCTGTGGCTTTCTCAGTTGAGTTCTCCAAGGGAGAACATTTGATCTCACCTTTCCTCCTGTCCAAGCAGCAGTGAGTTGACCCATCAGGCCTGAAATATAAAACCTCCCATTTCCCCTCCTATAAGATCCACGAACATCCGACCTCTACTAAAAATTCACAAGTAGAGCTTTCTTCCTACAAACATTTTACTGTCGTTGACAGGAGAGACAGGCACAGTAGGGATCGCCCAGGATGTGCATTCTCTATGCCCCTGGCTTCTCCTCTTCCCATCTGTCCCCAACCACCTCCACATTGCCTGCCCTTTTATACTTTCACAAACTGGTTGCCTCAGAACCAGTTAATATGGCTATTGCCCCTTAATGATTACGATGCTTCGGTGTTTCCTAAGCAAATATGTGTTCTTTGAAAACTACAATTTGAAATCATGCCCTAGCCAATCTATGCAGATAATTGAGGAAGGGTCACATATTCTTTAAAATCACAAATTAAATCAGGTTATTTTACCTTAACTGAGAGAGAAGCCTATTTCGAGGGAAAAGGGGCAGGGTTAAGGCCAAACTGTGTTTCTCTGTTCCACTCTGGAATTTTCTGTTTCCTGTCCATGAAGTGTTTGAAGTTGATTTCCTTCACTTAGACACCTTACACTTAGACACCGTCTTTGGTTCTATCTGCATATTTTCTTCCATGGGGAAGTTGATTATTATTAGGGTAAGAAATTCTATGATGCACTTTTAATCCATCATTTTAATGTAAAACTCTGGAAAATCTCATTTTAAAACAATCTAAACAGCATCAGGAGATTAGGAAAAGTTCTGTAATTTTCAAGAGAATAGGAAAAGGAAAAATTATAATGATTAACTAGATGACTAATTTCAGAATCTTGGAAATCAAAGAATTAAGTCATTTGCTTTAAAAAAAAAGATTAAAACAGCAGATTTTATATAAACTGTGAAAACCTAACATTTGAAAGATTGAATTTTCCACTCTAGTCATTCACGTATCAAGTGCTCATTTCTCTTGGCACTGAAGGCATTTGCTGGGTGGGTTCTGAGCTGCAGTACTATTGCCTTTAGTAGAGGCAAATAAGGGTGTAAATAGTGGTTCAGAGGTGAATTCAGAGGTGAATAAGGGTGTAAATGAGTGGTTCAGAAGAGCTGAGGCTCAGGGGAGAGGGTGCTTACACTGAGACTGAAGAATAGGTGTAATTCAGTCATTCCTCATTTCTTAAGTTCTTGGTGCATACCAGGCTGTAGGAATAGAGCAGAATGAACCCCTTAGAGAAGGAACTCAAGGAACACGAGTGAGCAAACAGCGTCCTAAGTTCTATTGAGAAGTCTGCACACTATGCCATGACCTAAATGAGAAGAGGAAGTCCTCATGGAGGGTGGAATGCTTGCGTTCACTCTTAAAAGATGCTGAGGAATTTACCAGATGAGTAAGCAGTCAGGGCATTCCAGACTTAGGACACAGCATGTACAAATGCACAGAGGTATGGGAGAGCACCGTGAGTTCAGAGAACAACAAGTTGTTCCCTGTCACTGAGAAGAGGGTGTCCATGGTGTGAGACAGTGGCAGGAGAGAGGCAAAATTGTAGGGACCAGATATGAAGGGCCAGATCCTAGATGCCATGAGAACATGCAAACAACATTGGGGTTTTACCCTATAGACAAACTGATCATTAAAAAACACTCAATATTAGAAAGGGATGCAATAATACCCTTTTAATCAAAGGTATCAGAATCCCCGTCTGGTGTTGATAAATGTCTTGCTTGATATTCACTGACCACCATACCAGTTACTTTTATAAGCATCGTCACATTTAATCAGCACAACAACCTATTAAGATGATACTGTGTTTACAAGAGCAGCCAAAAGAAAAGGCAGATACTATCATGACTTCTTATGCCAGAACAGTAATCAAGCTTCAGTTGGAATTAGGATTAGCACTAAAGAATGACACTACCTTTAAACACCACGGAGAGGAGATGAGTATAAGAAAACTGCACTTTTACGTTCAGCTCTCAAGAGAAAAATGAAAGAAAGCTAAAGGACTCCAGGAATGGCAAATAAGATTAAATATATGGAAAAAGAAATTGGTATCTGTTTCTTTAAAAAAATAGGTGAAGGCATTGGGGTTGATAACTTTCTAAATATCCTCCAAAAGAGTAATACTTGGGGGAAGTTATTAATCTCTTCTTCTCTTAATCTAAAAAGAAGGCTTATATTACAAAGTTTTAAGACAAAAGAAAAGTTAGGAAAGTAATTATTCCTTGAGTGAGTACCCAAAATGGACGTTGAACTTCCATCTCTGGAAATCTTAAATAAAATTTTTAAAATAGCTAGAATTTGTTATTTGTAAAGGCTGTACCACATGCCAGGCATTCTACTAGTTGCCTTACACTGTCAACATCATCATCACAAACTTCCATCATCATCATCACCTTGTGGTGAATAATACCAGCTCCAGAGCCAGACAGCATGGTTTCTATAAAATGGGAAAGACAGATCATAGGACAGTGATGACGATGACTCAGATGATATATGCCAACAACTTAAAGCAGTGCCTCGCATATCATGTTCTGTCTGAAGGAATAGCTTCATCATTAACTCTTCCTACTAATACTTATCCTGGGCTGCAGGTGAGGCACCTCATCAAGTACTACTGTTCCTTGTGCTCATTAACCTTTACAAGGACCAGTGAGTATTATTTTCCACATTTGATAGTTAAGGGAACTGAGACACAGAAGTTATTTCCATTCTCAGTCTTATGAAATATATTTGTTTCCCTTTTTATAATGAGGAAACTAAAGATTAGAATGACATCATTTGACCTAGGCCATGAAGCTAGTGAACAAACATCTGAACCCAAAACTAGGTCCCTGCTATCTGTTAGGTCTCTTCTTCCAACTCTACAGTTCTATGGAAAGCATAATTTTGATCCTGTGCCTCTGAATCATATACAGTGTTGTAAATGTGACTTCAATAAAAAAGAAAGAAAAGCGTACTTCTATCTATATTCATAAAACATTTTGCATCAACCAACAGCATTTTCAAGAGTTTCTTGTGGGTCTTTATTTTAAATTTATAGAGGTGTTCTTTTCAGGTGGCCCAACTCAATTAAGAGAGAAAGCGCAAGTAAATACAGCACTAGCCAGGAATGAATATAACCTCGTGTGAAACATGAATCTTTAGACTGTAACCAAAGCAAGGTTTTGATTTGATCCCCTCTTTGCCATCTTTTGCCAGTCCTGTGTGACTCTGATTGACTAATAACTTCCAGCTGTTTTGAGGTTGCTTTGTAACCCCAGTAACCGTGGGTGTTTCCTTGGTGAACAGTACAAAGTCTGGCCAGGAACTAGCAAATCATCATTTGAGATGACTTTCCACAGTACAGCTTTAGGCCCACATGTTGATTCGTGGCTGGACTAAAATTTGAGGAGCAGGAATTGTTACCACCCATATTAACATCTGCTTCAACATGTACCTCAGTTGTAGCACATGCCATTCTTCCCAATTAAGATAGCTACCACCAGTGACCTTCCTTGGCTTTTTGACTGGATTATCTATGGAATATCATAGAGCCCTGGTTATGGAACCATTTATGAATTAATAGCAAGAATTTTCTACACAGAAGAGTCTATAACAACTTCAATTATACTTGGTTTAGAATTGATTCCAGCATTCTGTAACAAAAGAAAATATCCATTCCTACAGAAGCCACTGACTTCAATCATATTTTCTAGTGTTTTTCTGATCCACAATGAGTAATTTCATTCCCAGGTTCAACTAAATTAGCCTTTCTCTGATTGTTCATGAAGATATGCTGGGCAAAGCAAACAAACAATTCCATTTTTTCCTTTAGTATTTCAAATGAGCATGCGTTCAATGTTTTTGAATACTAATATATGGTGGGCATCATACTTGGGTACAAAGATTGGTATGATATCATTGCTGTATTTAAGAAGGTGGTAGTCTCAAGGGGTGGGGAAGATGGGCATATGAACAGATCACTTCAGTTGCAAATAGTTGGTACCTACATATAGGGCTGTATAGAATATAGTGGAAGCCCAGAGATATGGAGTCTAGGGTAGATTTTGAAGTAAAGGATACAAGGACACATCCATTTTGGCCAAACAGAGGTGTAAACAAGGCCCCAATAGAAAGCACAGCTTAGACAAAGGCATGGCACTGTGGCTGGCCATAAACAGGATGCCACTCAGCATGAAATGCACACAACAACTTGAAGCTGAGAGGCTGGTAGGTGCCAACTAAGAAACCTGGACTTTATTCTGAGCACCCTCTTTGCTCATATTTAGTCTATAGTAACTGTTTTATCCAGTAGACATTTATGACCATATTTTGCCAAAGGGTTGTTGCCTTCTATGACTAACCTAGGGAAGAAGACACATGTGTAGTTGTAATAGAAGACCCAGTAGTATTCTACTCATGCCACATGAATGTTTTAAATAAAGTGCAGTGGTTAAGGTAGACAAATTTGTGAGCAATTTCTAGGCTGAATACTTAGGAAACGACTCACAGGAGACAGTGTCACTTGAGCTAGCACATGAAGGATGAATGTGGTTTCAGTTGGTGGTGCTTCTGAGAATGGGAGTGAAAGGACAGTCTTTACCAGAACTTCTCAAACTTCCTGTGGAGAAGAGCCAAGTCATTTGTTTTGATTTGTTTTATTTTCAATAACACAGACTAATACTTTTATAAAATAGGACAGGAATGTATTAGGAAAAAAAGATAAAAATTGCATATAAATTAGGAGCCCATATCATTTAATATTAGATTCAAAAAACAAAATTGCCTTATCAAATGCCCACACAAATTTCTAAATCTTTACTGTCAATTTCTGTTATGTTATTTGTAATGGACCGTTACCAAGTGTTCACACGCTAGCGGCAGTTTGCATAGCT